ACTGCGAGAACGAAGTATCTCAAAGTCTCAGCAACGACTGATGAGACTTCGAAATACTATCTTCGTCGTTCCACTGAAGATATCTGCCGCAGTAGTAGACGAAACTTTTGATACTACAAGTTTCTTCTTCATGGCCTACCAGCTCGGATTTTGTTTTGTCTAAACAATAGTCCGTTGGTGGCAACATGAAAACATATGATTTTTTAACTCTTCGAAGCTTATGATGAAGAACAAGTTGATTTTTAACCTTTTGAATTACCAATAGAAGGTATTCACAATGTGAGTTAATGAATCGAAACCTTTTCTTCAATGTTTCCTATCATTTTAGGAATTGCTAAAAGCGTCATAACATTTTTTGTTATTTTCAACACATTTTATTCTAAGAATTGTAATGAATGAATGCATTGCTTTGATCTTGACAAAATATAAATTGCATGCATCCATTAACAATTTTTTGGCTGAATAATGAAATGAATGACCCTTCTTTAAAATAATTTTTACTAATATTATTTGATATTATTTTTTTTCATTCATCTATTTTGCATTCGTTTATCGAATATACATTGAACTAATTGCAATACCCTTACGGGTTATTGAAATTAATTCAATGTAGTTACCCAAGATATTGCTTTAAAGAATGCAGATGCATCCGAGTTCAAAAATTATATGAAAAAAAAATATTGAATAAAATAAATGAATTCATTGTGAACCACCTATTCAAATGAAGTCGATTGAACTATTATTACAGCATTATTTTCTTTTACAGTTGACCTTCGATGAATTCAAAATCGGTCGATATGAAGCATCCGCCCTAGACGGCTGTCCAGATGGATACATGCAGCTCAGCGAATTGGGGCGTCCTTTCACTGGAGGTTCTTGGTGTGGCTCCTCATCGGGTCCAGCTGCCTATTATAGTGAAACATCAACGGTAACAGTGAGCGTAAAACTTTTCGGTTCCCCACAAATACCATTCGCATTCAGCCTTCGTTATCGATTCGTTTCCAAGAGAGAAGCTATAGTTCGTTTCGGTTCTCCTAGTTCTCCTCTGGAACGTGGACAAGTTGCTCCAGGTACCTACTGCAGTAGACAATTCGAAGAATGTTATAGGAAACCATGTCGCCTTCAGTCGCCGAACTATCCTGGAATGTATCCGAGGAATGTGTCCTGCTATTGGAGTTTGAGGCAGAAATTCGTACCCACCTGCAAACATGCCATGATCGCTGTACGTCAGGAAGCTGCTCACAAAATGCATATGAAGAGATCAATCAATGTAGCTGGACTGAATAAAACTTCCAGAGCGCTACGAGCATGGAGAGATTGTACAGGAGAAAGAGATCATTTGATTTTCTACGATGGTGGCTCCACCAATGATCCAGTACTGGCAAAATACTGTGGAGGAGACTGGCTCCCCAGGGTGGTAGCACGTGGACCAGAGATGCTTGTAGCTTTCCATTCATCCCCATTCAGCATACCCCTTCACTCTCCAACGTTTCATTCACCTCTCAGAGGTTTTGAGCTAGACGTCGATGTAATTTTTGCAGATTCTGACTCAATGGATTATTCCAGACATAAAATAAAGTGTGAATTTGATATAAATGCAACTAGTCCAGATGGCGACGAAATTTGGAGTGGTAGAGGCAGAAACGGTAGACTCATCAGTCCTAAACACTCATTACCTCCGAATACAACATGTTCTTACAAATTCAGAGGTTACCCTGGCGACTTAGTTTGGATAAGTTTCATATCATACAGTCAAAGAGCTTTGTTAGTAGGAGAAAGTGCTCATGCTCTCCTCAGCAATGGTTCCTCCGGCAATGGTTGTTCCACTAGATTGAGAATATGGGATGGAAATACGATTATAGAAGACAAATGTGATGAATCTCCGAAACTCTGTGATCATACCGCATTGAGTAACTCAACAAGATTCACTAGGCCTTGTTCTGGTGATGAAAGCTATCTTTCGTCTGAAAAAACTCTAGTTGTCCAACATCATACTGAAGACGGTACCGCCTTACACCCAGCTTCATTCAAAATGAAATATGAGTTTGTGGATACTAGACTGGGGGGTCAGCCTTGGCCAGAGAACGAAGAAGGAGGTATTTGTTACCGTGTTTTTCGACGCCAACACGTCGGTGAAGTGACCGCACCTCGGAATATTTTTTTATATGGGCGGGGAGGTGCGAAAAACTTAGATTGTGTATACAGATTCGAAGCCGGCTTAGATGAAAGAGTTCGGCTCATTTTGAACAACGCATCTTTTGGCCTAAATCCAACGTGTGAAACTCTCAATGATCCTCACACAGGAAGGCAGATATGTGAATATTTTCCAGGAAGCCGTATCTCAGAACTAAACGTTTTTGAGCGACCCTGGAAAGATATTCGTACGCACAAAGCTTGCATTTGTGATAATTCCACACTTTCCAGTAAACCTATTGTGTTCATTTCATCTTCGAGAACACTAGAACTTCAATTCACTGCCAAAGAGATGAATATCAGCGAAGACTTTACAATACTACATTTTCACGTACTATTTGAACTCATCAAAATGTCGGACTGTCCAAGGAATCAAAGACTGGGAGGTTATGGAGGAGAAGTTCATTTCAATAATCCTCCAGTCGACCGAACTGAAAATTTATGTTTGGGTATGCCATGGGTAGTGGAAGCAAGATATAACATGAGTTTGTTTCTACTCAGTTGGGGAGCATTTCTTCCATTGAAACCTCGCATAGATGAGCCTACTCGTTGTCCAACAACAAATCGGGTACTCATTTATTCAGGACGACCTCCCAAATTGGTACGAGTGGTATGTCCTGCAGAACCTGGATCTCGTCCGTTAGCAGTGCATGTATTCAGTGAGGAATGGTGGGGTGAAGCTTTAGCTCACATTGTGCAACGTCCCCCAAATTTTCTTATAGAATGGATAGGCTCCGAAACAGGAGTAGCAGCATTTCACTGGCTCGAAATTTCCAGATCAAGATCTGCACTACTTCAACAGTTGCAAGTTCCAGTAAACACCACCGGAAATGAAACGGACTTAGAGTGCGCGTTCAAATGCCCCGAGTTAGATGCGTGTATTAGTGCTTCGTTGTGGTGTGATGGAAAGGATCACTGTCCATCAGGTTGGGATGAGTCGGAAGCGCAGTGCGGTGCAACTTCAAAATTGTTAAATTCATTGCCACTGTCGGCCCTCGCAGCAGCAGCCGCAGTGATCTCTTCCATCATCCTCCTTGTCTGCCTGACCTTACACCGACTGCGTGCTAGGCGTCGAAGGAGGCTGGCAAAGAAGAAGTTGCTCACAGGTCCGAGGCTATTGGATCCGAGTTTAAATTCTTGACATAAGTCGCCGCCTGTGGAATTTATACATGTGGATCGGGAAACAACCGTATGAGGTCTGGTGTTTACCGGTTTTTCCGTCCCTATGCTCATTTTTTATCTACCGGTGCCTTTCTGTGATTTACAATGGTTTTGCGTGGCGTCTTCACATTTAAACCAAACTTAGGTGTTTCTATCTTGAATAAATATAAAGTTCACCAATGTTGTTGTGAAGTGCTATTGGAACGAGTAATTTCTGTAGCAGCAGAAACACTTCTTCGCTCACTAGAACCGTACTTAATCCAGTTGATAGTTTATTTTCAATTAACTTACTGTTTGCAGAATTTTATTCAAAAACGTCATATGCCAAAAACCATTTTTTCAATTGTCTAATTACAAAACTTCGATTCAACAGAGATAAATGTTTGCTCAAAATGGATCAAAATATTTTGTTACTGTTATCAACCACTCAATTCACTAACAGAAAATCATTAAAATGTCCACATGCTGTGAAAAAATTTCGAGTATCAAATAAACTAGAAAATACCAATAGAAAATGTAGATTTTTTTACTGTTGAAATGTTACTAATGAACGAAACCTAATTTGTTTCGGATGTAACCAAAGTTTCCGCCCGTTCTGCTCTTTTTTTTCAGTCACCTCATTGCCGACTATTTAAATTCAGTTTTCTCTCGGCTGATCAGTACTATTATTGTTGACATTAACGATTCATTCGCTTCTGAACAAAAATACGCTACAAAATTCTGTTAATGTATAGTTAAAAATTATATCGTTCACTATTACATTAAGAATGACATACCAATGAGCAATGAATCGTTATATTGGGTATTCACGTTATATTCAGTATACGCAGATGTTCAAAAATAAGGAGAACAGTAAAAAACGAAATGAAGTTCACCCAAATTGTTTTCAATGATATCAGCTATCAAAAAAATCATCGATTTGCTTAGTTGAAAAATCAAACCGCGCAAATATTCACAAAAATATTGTAGACTCTTGTCAATTTTCATAATTGTGTGCGTAAGATTCAGTCCTAGTATCAAATGATACTTGAAATCGCACATTGAAAGGTAAGACGTCGTTAATCCTCAACTCGCACAATATTTTACTTCTGAAGGTTCTCGTTTGTAGGGGAACGACTGGTGGTTGAAGAAATTCTTGAGGCTCAGTATGGAGTCTTCAGTCTTCAGTCTAGGTCAATATTCAAGACTAACAGATTGAGAGCTCTGATCGTCATGAAGATATTATTCAAATTTTTGGGTAGGTTTTAATCACCAATTCTTCATATTTAGATGTTACATTCCTCCTCCGTTTGTTTATTTCGGTACCTATTACCCTGAGCACCTAATTTACCATTACTTCGACTTCTCCATTCGAAGTCTGGTGAAAATACAACATGTTGATCAGAATAAGGTTTCCAGAACCAGTTGAGGCATTCGTTGAATATTTTTTAATTCCATGCGATACAGTATCACCAAAGATGAACTCATCCTCATATTTTACTTACAGCTCTTTGATTTTCGAGTTGAAAACCTACGTACCACAAAACAATGCTTGCCTTCATAAGATTGGAGTCGTTTCTTCATGGGGAACTGCAATTTCATCCAAATAGTCTTATAAACGACATGACTTGTACTTTGATGTATTATCTCAAGATTTTGAGCTCATACAATTCGCTTTCAGGCATTCGAGAGTCACTCATAGAGAGAAGGAGGCTAAGGGTATAAACATTCTTGAAATGAACGATTGATTTTATTGCTATAATTGACTCATTTTTCTCGAATATTCTACATTTGTTATCCTAATGTAACACCTCATTTCCATCTCTGCTTGCATTTTCTTGAAAATTTTGGAATCCATACAATGAGACATTTTGGTTATCGAAATTCTTTCAAAATTCATTTGATCAAAGATCTTTTTTCATCTTTCAATCCAGAAACTGGATGGACTATTTGGCAGTGACGAGTGAAAGTACCAAATGAGAAGTGAATCAAATTATTTTCGAAACAAAATCACTTTTGTATCCAATATAACTACAGATTTGGATGGTTTTTGGCTCTTAACAAACATACGATTTTGATCAAAACCAACATCTTGTAATATGGTCTCAGTCTTTCATAAATATTCATCATCAATAATCTCCGACTATCATTAAAAATACTGCCAAAATAGTACATAGTCTAGTTTTCACCAGCCATCAACGTAAATTTAAATATTCAACTGATTTGTATGCTGCATATAGAATTGTATTATATATAACTAATATTTGTTGAATGTTAATAAAAAAAATGTGAAGATTTCACGCTGAACCAGTGAATAACTAATAAAAAACTAAGAGACAATCGTTCAGTGTGACCCCTGTTTAGTGGTCTTTAAAACTGACTAAACTCCTTATGGAACTCTGATCACTATTTTGATCAGTTATGTAGTGAGACATAATTTATTGTACTTATAACTAGAAAAATAAAGGTTTTCAAGGAGTAGGAACCAGATTAGTACGATTGTAAGCTGAACATTATTACAATCGTTCAGTTTAATAAGTTTGAACTACAGTAAACCTTTTGAACTTTGCTATTTAATTGTTTAGAACACTTTCCAACTATGTGTGATGTCAGAAAAGTGACAGATTTGAAGAATTTTATAGAATAACATAAAAAAATCATCATGGATAATGAACACCTAATATAGTGACCGATATAATTTTCCGTTTGTCCACCAACTACTTCCATTGAAACAATATCTAATGTTTCTTTCTGTTTTTTGAGGAATTCAAACCCCCACAATCTGAAAAATAAATTAAGTTGAATCAGTGAAGAATCTGCTGAAGTGTAATGAGGTGCCAACTGAAACGTTCCTCCTGAAAAATTACTGCGTAATATATATGACCGAAGAGTTCCATTGGTCATTAATTGGTCTTTTTCACAAATTTTGCCTGCAAATAGTATGAATGATTGAAAAAATTAAATTTCAATATTCAAAAGGGCTAATGTTTCAGAAAGTAATCCCTTTCGGTTTTCAAAACCAAAAAAATTCACTTGTCAAAAGCAGCTCAGATGAAAACAGTTATATTTCAGTTGAGAGACAGCAAAGAGAATGTGAATACCCAAAAAACAGAAACAAATATTTACTTATTCACAAAGAGTGTCTTTCGGAGAATAATATCTGCTGGTAATCTATTCCTGGGAGGCTGTTTTTCAAAGTTCAAAGCATCCACTCAAACTTATTCAAAACAAAAATTGGTTCCTAACTTCTGGTATGAGAGTTCAGTCACAGTTAACATTGAAAATTATACTCCGTTCAAGTTGGAAGTATAATATGAGATAACGATTATTGTATGTTGAATATCAGTATAGAAAGTATCAACTTACTTTATATTCATTTCCACGCTCCACGAAATCATTTTTTGTTGTTCTATTTTTTCGATGTATGCCCCTGATAAACTTATTCAGAAGTTTATTGTTTTGGAAAAGAGAGTTTGTGGCTTTCTAATACTCCATCTTGGTACAAAAAAAATGTAGGAATCTTCCAAAGAAAAGAAGAAAGCAATCAATTTCAAAAGAAGTAACTCTATACATTGATATGTAGATCATACAAAGAAGTAACTTTCACACATACTGGAAGAAAAAAGCCCTCCCCAAACAGCTTCTTTCATATAAACATTGAATTACACGAAAGAAATATCCTTTCGAAACAAAAACTCTTATATGAACACTGAATTATCCAAAAAACACTTTTCTCTACTCGGTTTGTATTCCAAACAGTCGTTATGGAACTGAATCATATATCGTTCACAGGATTTCCACACAATATACTAAATGAAAGGTCCCAATCACATGGGATATTATCATTCTCACTGGTAGAAAGCAATATTTAGCCGTTAGATGAATGAATTTGTGTGTTTTTTCTCATAATGCTAGCCAGATTGGTACTGAAAAGCCCTAAGGCAAGTGTCTCACGGCGAAACATCGATATCTACCAGTGAGGAGGACAATGTTTCATGTAAGTGAAAGTTTTACCTTTCATTCAGTATATTGTGTAGAAATCCTGTGAATGTTATCTGATTCAGTTCCATAACGAATATTTGGAATACAAACTGAGTAGAGAAAAGTGTTTTTTGTATAATTCAGTGTTCATATGAAAGTATTTGTTTCGAAACAATTTTTCTTTCGTTTAAGTCAATATATTTATATGGAAGTAGCTATTTCAGGAGGGATTTTCTTTCAGTTTGACTGAAAGTTACTTCTTTGTATGATCTGCACATTTATGTATAGAGTTACTTCTTCTGAAATTGATTGCTTCCTTCCTTGCTTTGGAAAATTCCCACATTTTTTTATATTGAGATGGAGTAGTAGAAAGCCAAAAATTTTCTTTCAAAAAATTCAGAGTTTCATCACTGAATATTATTGATTTTTAAGACAGACATATGAGTATTTGAAAAAATACAATTATTAAATCTCCAGATTGATACCTCGTGACAAATGCATCAGTTCATGGAATTACATTATTAAAATATAGTAAACTGTCTCATACTGTAATTCCAAAATAAAAGGCACTGAATTCTCAGAAATGACTGACGTTTTCGCCTTAATCTGTCTCTTGCAGTGGCGTACTGAAATTATATTAAACAGCTGAGGAAAAATGATGCTGAAATATATAGAATCACAACCTTGACAACAATGTTTTCATTTTGATGTAATAATATTCCTTAGAATTTAGTGCCTACTGGAGTTGTATTGTAGTAAGTTCTATTGAATATATGCTGACATATCCCACGTTACACTTCCAACTTGTTGGGATTCATTTCAAGATAAAAACTCTCTTAATTGAAATATTCGTGATTTCAGTGACGATATTTCAAACATCTTACTGAACAGTTACCATTATTAGAGATTAAGCCATTGTTAAGATATTTATTTCAGCGTCTCAGCAGAAGAACGAGTGTCAGTGATACGGAATGCGAATTCTCAAGTTTAAGTTTAAATTGTGAGCTATTTATTTTCTACACCCCAGTAATTTGGCTCTGTTCTCTAAAATATTGCACGAAGAGAAGGTCTAGCAATAAAGCCATTATTCATTTGAATCGTGTTCCACTCGGTGGTTAGTTACTGGAAAAGATTAAATAATTTTCTTTTTGTTATTTCCACACACGGATACATTGTGTTTCCACGACTGGAAACATGATGTATTGCTCTTCTTTCGAGTGAATTCATTTAGGATCATCTTCAGATACTGCAACGTCCAAAGAACTCATGTTTATTATGATAAATGAAAGTATTAATTATTATTATACAAGCATATAATAATTGCTGATATCTTCAAAGGTTTAGCCCACATCTCATATCATAAATCATCATTCAGAATGAAAGCTGTTATGTTGGAGTAGAATACAATACTTTGTTCACGGATACGAAAAAAATTCTATTCAAAAAACAGGTATCAATATCCCATGGAATACTTACCCTTAAACTGATTCAATAATCATTCCATTCATGTTGATACTCTTTAGAATCAATAGAATATTGTACAAGTGAAAAAAACGACATATTTCTCACGAGCGCAGAAGCGAGTGAGAAATATGTCATTTTCTCACGCATTGTACACTGTACTTTTTCTACGGTTGCAATAGTTTTCAACTATTGAAAATTAAAATACATATATAATAATACTTGTATGTCTTCAACTCATTTTTATATTTTATTTAAAATAGTAATTCACAGTTATATTTGAATAATTTTGTAAAGTAATTCCTGGTAGGTCGTTTTGTTTCAACATGTTTTCGGTAATTGGAATATTAGCTGCGGTCGAAGTTGAAGTTGATGGGGAAACGTACTGAGCTTCCACAGCATTGTTGTGTTCAGGTTCTAATGGCGCTGGAGGCTGAATGGATTCTACTATACTTTTTGAAATTTTCATTTTGTTAGCTATGGAGTTGTCGATATAAGATTCAGCAACATTGCCGGATTTCCAACCCCCATAGCGTTCTAATTAAAAGATCTGCCCCTGCATTAACTAAAATAGTCGCGGATAACCTTCGAAAACGGTGGCCAGTATATAATTCAGGGTTCGGTAATTGCAAAAATTTCGCTATTTCTTTTACCATGGTGCCAAATTTATTTATTTCCACAGGCTGTTTCGTACATTTGCTATTTTTGTAATTTAAAAAAAACGTGTTTTATTTGTGCATGGTCGAAGCTTCACATGTTTTTGTAAATTTGGTAGAATTGTCCTGTGACTGTGAAATTTCTAGGAACCTTGGTTTAAGTATCGAGTAATTTTATTAAAATGGCCGAATTAAGATCTTCCATGTCATCAATTTTTAATCTTCGAAGTTCATCACAATGGCCTGCCCCTGTAAAGCCAATAGCTAAAGCAGCCTGAAATCAAAACCAAACAATCATTTTCCGAAAACAATTTAAAAATTTTCAATTCATACCTTTATCAGCAAATACTTTTCTTCAGGTGCATCCTTTAAAAATTGTTAAATATCTTCAGAAGTTAATGTTTTCGACTGTTTTGGAGCATATTTTTCAGATTTGCGTTTTGAAAATGCACGTAGTTTTACGTATTTTGATATATCAACACAGTTTTAATCAATTGAGGTACTCCTGAGTACTGAGACTATAATGTTGATGATTTCAATTTCCTTGACAATTCTTCAAAATGAACTAACATTCTGTTACTGTGAACTAACACTAACATTCTGTTACTAATAACATTCTTATTTTTCCAAATTATAGTGAATAATCTATATGAAAAGTACGATGACGGTTGACGTCATAGTTTATCATATTTATCATAAAGGAAGATTTCCCGTTTTCAAAAACCCACTGTCCCGATGGATATTTTTTTCATCATTTTCTCTTTGTTTTTCAATATTCTAGGTAGTAGCATTAGTAACGGTAGGCCCATTCTATGTGGCTACACATATCCAGAGGGAATGTTATCTTCATTCGCAACACATACAAGGAGTCCTATTGAGGAAACGGAACATAAAAAATTTCACAATTTACTGAAGGCAATGAAGGCTATCCACCTAAGACATTTTAGAGACAAAGTTGATGATATCAACTGTAACATTCACTTATCGTCAGATGATTACCAATTCATCTTGTACAGAAACCTTCACTATTTGGGTTAGATCACTTGATGAGAAATAAATACTCAGATAGATTATTCAGTGAAGTAACGTAATTAATTAAAATACAAAGTTACCTTTTTAAATAATAATCGACTGATTTTTCAAAATATAAATCTTGATAGTATTCAAATCCATTTCCTTTTTCAACTCTGTATTCATATCCACCAGATACGATGAAAATCATTTGCAATTTGCGGATAAATTGATTATGATCGATCAATTAAGTAATATTGACCAACTCAGCTGAACAAACATATCTGTCATAACATATGCGCCTAAATTACCATTTGAATCACCGCAATCACATCGCTGATTATTATTAAC